CGTAATCCATCGATTTGCCCATTTTTAGCTCTTGCTTCTTCAAGTTCTGCCTGTAATCCATCGATTTGTGTATTTTTTGTTTTTGCTTCTTCAAGGTCTGCTCGTAATCCATCGATTTGTGTATTTTTAGTTTTTGCTTCTTCAAGTTCTGCTCGTAATTGATCGATTTGTACAGTTTTAACTGCTAGTTCAGTATTTCGAGTTCTAAAAGAAAAAAAAGAAATTCGTTTAAAAAATTCAATTTGAATATTTACTCATCTTGTTGAATTTGTTCGATATTCTTTCTAAGTTGTTCATTTTCTTGTCGTAATTCATTTTCACGAGATTGAGATTGTGTCTAAAAGAATTCAAATTCTTATTCGAAACAGACAAATTTTGTTTTTCGTACTTGAATTTCATGTAATTTCTTTTTATATTGTTCATTTTCTTCAATTAATTGTTGTTTTAATTGATTTATTTCTCGTTGAGATTGTTCACGTTCTTCATTATTTAATGTTAATGATTTTATTGATTCAAATTGAATTTTTTCTTGTCGTAAATTTTCATTATCGATATCTAATTGTTCAATACGACATTTATGTTCATTTAATTGATTCATATGTAATGTTCGATTTTCATTTAATTCTTTAATTAATTTTTCTTCATTTAGTTGAAATTGTTTTTGAGCTTCTTGAGCTTTTTGTGCTAATTGTTGATTTGAACTAAAAATTTTTAAAAGAATTTGTAAGTGTAATTAGATAATGAGTAAAAGAAAATCAGAAATATTTCATTAATATCTATCCGAAGGAATCCATGTGGTGGAATCACAAATAGATCCGATGGTACGAGTTCGGTATATATCCGACACTTCGATTGTATGGCTTTTTGAGACTTTCGGATCTTCGTTCTTCTTCTAAGAGTTCTGAGTTTACTACTACCTAGACAGATGAAATATGCATAAGGATATCAGCTCAGTTTTTAGTTTCCATTCAACTAATTACTATTTACTTGATTAGTAATAGGGATACGAATATGATTCTGTCACGCGATTTCCGACAACATTTCTACAGGAATTTATGTAATTCTTATAGGATCTGATAAGGTCTAACTATTGGATTGGTTCTCTGGGTATCTATGCATCTGTAGTACAGAGTTCTCGCATGGGATGGAATTTCCGTCTCCCAAAATGTCCTACTTTCTATCAACTTTGAACAGAAGCCGGATTTTGAAACATTATTTGCCTTTCTCTTTGGTGAATAAGATTGGAGTCAGCCGTAGGAGATCTGCAAGAATTTTCTGACTTCCTGGCGAACTCTTAGCTCCTCTCACCTTTTAAAAAATATCGACAACTATGCTATAGTGCGATGATTTTTTTTTTCTATACGAAAATATTATTGTCTACAAATTGAACTGAAGGTAAGTTCTAACCAGTTATTTAAACAATACGAATGAAACCAAAAAACATCAAGTGATCGGATGAGAAAATGTTGCACTTATCATCTTACCGAAGTAAATCATCTTTTTCTTTCTGTCCTTCTTGAATTAATAATTCTTTAGTATTAAGTTGTTTTTCTAAATTAGCATTATCAACTGATAATTTTTTTGTTTGTTCACTTAATACACGTAGTTGAACATTTGTTGAGTCACTACCATTATTCATTATATTTAATGGTGAAAATTGTTGTTGTTGAAAATGTTGTTGTTGTTGAGTCAATCGTTGTTTTAATTGTGTATTTTCATCTGTAAGTCTTTTAAATTCAGCTTGAAATGTATGAATTTGTTGTTGTGGATGTTGAAATGCATTCAATTGAGCATGAAGTACTTGTATATCCATATCTTTTTCATTTTTTTCGTTTAATAAATCATTTATTCGACGTTTATCATTATTACGTTCATCAGTTAATTCTTGTATACGTTTCATAGCATTATTTTTCATATCTTAAATAAAGATTTCGGTTTTTTTAAATTTTTTAGTGTTTATTTTATAATCAAAAAATTATAAATAAATACCTTCTTCATATGCTCGTGCTGATTCATCTAAAATTTGACCAATATGTGCTTGTGGATCAACTTTCTGACCATGTTGTAACTAAAATTTAGATAAAATGTATTTATTAAGAACATTTAAAAAGAAATCTTTTTTCGTTTAAATACTTTTGACCAATCTTTATTGATAACTGATTGTTTATTAGCAATTTTATGCATAATTATATCAAGTTCATCAGTTGATAATGGAACTGCATCAAGTGCTAACATAAGTTCAGTAACAACAGTTTGTGATGTTGGAAGAGCTAAAAAAAGAAATACGTAATAGATACATAAGATGAATAGAAAAAATATTTTTTTAAAGTGCCGAGAAATCGAAATTTGAGCAAAAAAGTTTTGTTTTTGTTAGGATTGGATATAAAAACATTAGAAAACCCTATAAAAATCGAGATATACCATATGCATCAAATCTCAATATTTATCTGAATTCAATATTGATGAGAAAAATCATCTTTTTCAATATGATAGAAAAAAAAGCCATAAAAACGGATTCGCATTGCGAGGTTTTTGTGATTAGAATTCAAGTTTTAAAGCAAATGAAAATCATACTACTATTATTTGCGAATAATCTGATCTGTGATTTCCCCCAAGGTCGAACCGGATTTTCAAACATCATTTGTCTGTCTCCGATGGAAAGTGAAAATGAGCAAACATTGTCGTTGTGAGGTGAATAAGGATGACCTGGTAGCCGATCGTCTGTTTTGAAGAGTCTGAGTCTTTCCTCTCCCCTCGCAATCACTGCTTTTAGCACTTTCTCCTTAATTTTCAGCCCCTTTTACTCCTGAAAAATAACAACAACTCTGTTTTCAAGAATCAAACAATATTTTTCAAAACGCATGCGTAAATTTTCTAGTGTATTTCAATTTTGATAGCCTTTTCTGATTTTTTTAACCTCAACTTATAACAAAAAAACTTTTTTTAGCCGACATCTTACTTTTAACAAGATCAGCAAGTTTCATCGGTGGAGCAACAGTTGGTTGTTTTATAGACGATAGATTTGTATTTAAACCATTGATTTGAGTTGGTGTTTCTTGTTGTTGGTGTTGTTGTTGTTGACGAGTTGGTGTTTCTTGTTGTTGGTGTTGTTGACGAGTTGGTTGACGTTGAGCTAATTGCTCATGTTGAGTTTGAACTGGTGCTGGTTGACGTTGAACTAATTGTTCATGTTGAGCTTGAACCGGTGCTGGTTGTTGAGTTGAAGGAGCAGATACAGTTGTTGATGCTGTATTAACCGATTTATTTTGTTGTTGTTGCTGTTGTTGTTGTTGTTGTTGTTGTTGTTGTTGTGATGGTGGTGTTACAGTTTTATGTCGACTATTAACAACAGTAGTAAATGGTTGTTCCTGTTGTTGTTGTTGTTTTTGAACTCCTTGATTAACATTTGTTGATGATGATGTTGGTTTTTTAACTGGTACAGGAGGAGAAGGTATTGTTTGTTTATTTGATGATTTTGTATGAGTTTTCAAATGTTGTTTAGCTAATTCAACTTCATCTTTTGGTATTGTAGTTGCTAATAATGGATGAGGTATTGGTGCAGCTTGATTTGTAACTGGACTTTTTTCACCTTTATTAATAAGAATACCTTCGACATGAGTTGATGTCTTATTTTTATTACGTTTACGAGCTTTTGATGATGTTTCAATAGTTGGTGGTGGTGGTGGTGTTGCTGATTCCTAAAAGATAAAAATCAAGAAACAATTATTTTTATTTTTTGTCTAAATTATAATTTACTTGTTCACTTTCTTCTCTTTCATTATCACTTTCTTCACTTTCTCGTACAAATGGTTCTTGAAATTTAACTTTATGTCGTTGATGATCTTCTTCTTCTTTATTATCACGTTTTAATTTTTTTTGTTCTTTACGTTTTTTTTTTGTTTGTTCATAATTTGATTTATCTTTTTTTTTCTTCTCATTTGTTGCATCAAATAATGAATTTGTATCATCTTTTTTTCCAGTTGAATTTATTGACATTAATGGATCTGGCATAGTAATTTTCCATGCAACAATACCAAATATACCAATTAATGTGGTAATAATTACTAAAGCAATTGAAATAGTTAACCAATCAATCATGTTCTCTTCGTTTTGTTTTTGTTTCGAATGATAATAAGTTTCTTATTATTTTGTTATTGTTTACGCATACACTCGCATTTACACAATTCACGTACGTTACCTATTTAATACCAATAAAAATTTATTGATCTGTAACAAAAAATAAATAATTATGATAAATATAATTTCATACCTGAAGATATTTGATGAGATAATGGATTAGATTAAAATGTCACGAATAACGATATTGAAGAAGAGAAAAAAAATACGCTTAAGCTCTTTATCTTACATAAGCAACAGTAAAAGAGAAGATAAAGTCTCTATATGACACATGTATGCATTTTAAGTAGGAAATTTAGATGAAAGATATTAATAATTATTTTTTTAATAAAAATATAAAGAATTTTTTATTTATGAATAATAATTATTATAAATAATTTTATTTATTAAGGAACCTAAAGAATATCAAAATGGTGGTATTTAACCAATAGGAATAAATAAAGAAATTTACCATGGAAATATTTTTGTAATGACATTGAAATAGTTTTTTTGCTTTTTTGTTTTTATTGATGTGATTATAAAATTTAGTGAATACATGTAAAGAAGGTCATATGCTTTATAGCCACAGTACTTTTTCAAGTGTCAATAATTGTATTCTTTAATATAGCATATCTGTTGTTTTTTTCTCTGAATCGAATTTTCAAAGTTTAGAAAAATATTCAAGTACATTAAACAAAAAACAAAACATGTTGATTAAATAATAAAATATGAAAAATTCTAAGCGTACAATAATAAATCAGTCGTATGTTGTTTTCCAGTTAAGAAAATTTTTTGTTGTATGAATTAAAATACATCTAAAACGGAAAAAATATTGTTTTTCTTAATGATATTATTCATAAAAAGAACTCGAAACTTACTGTTTAATAATCAAAATTTCAATTCAATCTTTTTTCTTTGATAATTTAATGTAATGAATAATTGACTTAACTCACGTAGAAATATATATTTGGAAAAATATATTATATAATGAAAGCATCAAATTTTCAAAATCAATTTCTTAATGAATAAACAATATTTTATAAAATTCTAATAAATTTTTTTCGATAGCAACGATTTCTAGGTTGATGAAAACTTTCGATATAACAATTTCATCAGTAGAACTTTGTAAAGATTTAAGATTCAAGAATTTTTTTGGGCACCATGCATAAGGGATGCCAAAGTGAAAGGAGTGCGGATAAACATTTCTGGACGTCCAGATACTTACTATGAATATTTTCAAGCTTAGTTTATTTTGAGGAGCATTTAAATAGTAACTGAATTGAATGAATATGTTGTTGAAATAATTGAAGATTATGCTATATGAGCAGATAGTTATTTTGTGGAGCAGTTATATGAGATTTTCGAGTGCCATTGCTATTTAGGCTAGTCTTTTGTTTTTTATATTGTGTTCAAATATTTTATCCAGCGTGAAGGCCGAAGAGGTGATGCCTCTCCCAAGATCGGGTTGGACCTCTCAAAGTTTGTGGTTATTAAACTATGTATCTGTGTCCTTACATTAGAGATTCGCCCTCGTGTAGTTTTAGATTGTCCCTCTGAAAGATAAAAATCTCGATAGAACACTGTGCTACTCGTTAAAATCCAATGTATCTAAAAAGACAAAGCCTTTACACTAGGTTAGACTTTTGTTTGTTGATTCATTTCTATTTTTGATATATATATATATCGTGCTGAAGCTAAAACTGACAACATTTATTGTCGAAATTATTATTTCGACACGGAGATTTGCTGAAGTTATTTTACATTAATTAAAAAGTTAAAAGTTAATTCAGTGACAATGATATTATGAAAAATTTTTTATCCAGATTAAAGCTGTAACCGAAAAATATATTTCTTTTTATTTCAAACTAATATATAAATGAGCAAGCAGCGAAAAATAAGTAAAATTATGTTTCAAAAATAAGAAGATTATTCGATAATAAACAAGTGATTCATTTTAATAATTGTACAAAAAAAGAATTGAATCTGTATTAAAATTTGTGATCTATGAGCCATCTCCATTTACCGACATCTTCATTGGCACCAGAAAAAAAATGAGGGACAAAGACTACTTGAATACTGAAATCTTTAAATTTAACACTGATTCATTAGATTATTTTCTCTTCGCGTTGAAACATTATGTGTCAACAGTTGTATTAAAAAAACTATTTTAATTGTGAAATTTTACACCAATAGACATCGTCAAGACATGAACTCAAAAAACAAAAGTAGAACCATTAGTGTCCCAATATGATACAGTAAGGTCATGGATTAATATGTTTACTGTGGAATTGGTCGTCAGTAAAACTGAAAAAAAAACAAGCAAAAGGTTTTCATACAAATGTAACTGTAATTTTTCGATGTTTGTCCATTTTCATATTAATTTGAACGAAAAAAACAAATTTTCGGTTGTAACTCTAATTTAGATAATATGTTTTTATAAAATCCCGGTCAATATGAACTGTTTTTTTTAATGAAAAGGAGAAGAGTCGATGAAACTGGACAGAGAGGGGTCAAAAAGTACGACTTTTACCTGGACATTAGTTATGGTTGATCTCTTATCTATCTATCTTAGTCATGCTAGCTAATCAATATGCAATAGGACTATAATGTAAAGACAAAAGTATAAACAGCTAGATAAATATGAAAGAATGTAAACCATATCTTTTTATACGTGCCTGAGTGTTTTTGACATTATTGCAGTAAACATCGTTTGTAAAGTTGTAAAAAAGAATTTGTTCTTAGTTTATGTAGTATATACGTAGTATATAAAACGTGAGATATAATGTATGTAGGACATTCAAGTGTTCATTCAAACACTAATACTGTTGATGATGATGAACAACTCTTAACATTGACAACATTTGATTTACAACATGAAACAATTTTAATAAATACTTTAAATGAATCAGTAGTGGATATTAATTCAACTAATGAAGAAAAATTACATAAAAACCCTGTGTTAGATGAAATTCAAGTAGAACCACCTGTAACAGACACCTTTCGTTGTTCAAATATATATGCACGTTATATTATTACTGCATGGGCTTTCTTTGGCTTCTTTTGTCTTTTTGCTATGTGAGTGAATTTATCTGTAGCTATTGTTGTCATGGTTTGTATATTAATGATATGATATATAATAGAATCAAAACTATTTTTCTTCTGTTAGGTAACACCACAAAGTGCTTTAAAAAAGAAAAAGTTTTGTTTTATGAATCACTCTGTATATAATGAAAAAATACATTTCCATATATATGAATACTACTTAGTAGTAGAAGGATTTTCAAATGGGTATTTTTATCTGCATAAAATGCTTGTCTTTTTATCTTATCCTTTCTTTAAAAGGTTTTGTTCTACTATCATTGAGATAGTATTTTCAAGATTTAACTTTTCCAAAATTGTTTGCATTAATATGGGGCTAATTAATTTTTCGTCTCATATTTATAGTAATTAATATCTGATTGATTTATTTACTCATTATCTCATTTTCTTTTACAAAAATCATCATAATCATTTTTCGATAGAATAGTTGAAGTCGATTCTATTCGACTGTCTGCTAAAAGTTTTTGTCAAATTAATTGTTTATCATGATCAATATTCATTAAGGCCTCCACCTCAAAAAACGAATTTCACCTCAAGTCAAAGTGAAATAGCCTGAAATTTTCAGATTATGCTGGGGCTGTACTGAGGACGCTATGGTAAAATTTTCAGCTCTATACGATGATGTTTGACAGAGATATGAACCAAACACGGGTCCAAAAATAGCGCATTTTGCTTCCAAGATTTCTCGGTTCAAGCTCTGTCAATATATTTAAATTCTTGTTTTTGTTTGAAAGAGCATCTCTGGATGCAGGGCACCTCAGAGTTCTTTTTTTAAAATTCTTACTTTGTTAGTGGAGATAGGGGATCACAAGTTCAATGACTCAAAAACGCGCCAAAAAATGGGTGTCTATGTCTGTATATATAACAAAAATTAAGCTTAATTTAAAAAAGCGACTCTGTGGTGCGCTCTATCTTAACATGCTCTTTCAAATAAAAATAAAATTTAAATATATAGAATGGATGCTGATAGAGAATTCTTCGCCAGACGATCAAAAATGTATAGACAGAGAGAAAACGAAAAACATCTTCCGTTTTATCTAAAAAATGCATACTTTTCAACCGAAATCATCAAAAATACTGGCTAAAAATGAGATATTAAATTAAAAGTCATATTGTTTCTGAAAGAGAAAACTTCGAGCTATCTTCGCATGCATAAATCTTTTCTAATAAACCAATATTCATTAATTTTTCCTAGTTGAAAACCACAATAAAATGAATAAAAGTATTTTTTTTATATAGATGACGCTATTCTCTTTTATTTTAATTATTTATTGGCTAAATTAATTAACAAATCACTCAATGACGAATTGTTTTTTTGTTGTTATTTGAGTAAGTACTCAATCAATAATGAAAATAAAATTTCATTTAAATTTTATGATTAGATTGTTTCATAATCGGTTCAATTGAATCGAGTGCAAAGAAGAAGAAAAAAAACCGAATATCTTCAATGTCTACAATTGCCACTAGTACTACCACAACAGCTTATTTTGAAGAACAAACATTGTCCGAGCAAGAAATTCGTCAAAGATTAAAAAAAATAAACTCGAAATAAAAATGATTCCATTATTTAATCGTTGTAAACCATCGTCAAAAAATTTTAATTCAATACGAAATTTATTATTGATATTAATTTTTATTACATTTTTATTTATTTTATATTCATCATTATCATTATCACCATAATTACGTTTTCTTGATCCATATTCATATGTATTAGTATTAGATGCTGGTTCAACAAGTACACGTATACATGTTTATAAATTTGTGTACATCAGTTGATAATGAAAATGGTGATACATTTGTTTTAAAAAATGAAATATTTAAAGAACTTAAACCAGGTTTATCATCATTTGTCAATGATATATCAAAAGCTGCAGAACAAATAAATAATTTATTAAAAATAGCTGATCAAGAAGTTAGTCGATTTAAACATCGAAGTACACCATTAGTATTACGTGCAACTGCTGGTTTAAGATTATTAAGTGAAACAAAACAAAAACTTTTATTAGAAGGTGTTTGAAATACATTTAAAAAATATGGATTTTATCGTCCAAAAATGGATATTGCAATAATGAATGAAACAGAAGAAGGTATTAATGCTTGGCTTACACTTGTTTATTTAAGAGGTGAACAATTTTATGGTAGTTGAATAGCTGCACTCGATTTAGGTGGTGGTTCAACTCAAATAACTTATAATCCATCATTATCAAATACAAGTTTAGCTGAAAAAATAAATTTATTATTAAAAGCACAACAACCAATTGAACCGGAACAAATCAATACATTTCGTGATCCATTACTTAAAAAAAAAGAAACAAATGTCAAGAATTGATGTTGAACAAGCTGGTTTAGAAGAAATAAAACCAGTTAAAATTATTAAACATGATAAACAATTAAATGAACCAAACAAAATTTAATTGAAGAAGAAATTATTATGAAATATATGCATCAATTTCGAATGTTTC